AGACAGAATGTCTGAGGACACGAGACAGAATGTCTGAGGACACGAGACAGAAGTAGAGTCTTTACAGAGAAAACAACAAAACATGACAAACTGCTTGGTTTTCACTTCATAGATTGACATGTAAACAACACAACATGTGGATTAATGACAATAAACTGTAGCAACTTTAGTGAAAAATTATTCATATCATACATCATCACAGTATTTTAGCAGAAAATATAAATAAACAAAATGTTACAATTACTGAGACACATTGAGTGAAATGTATATTATAAACAAAGATAATCTGTCCATCTACCACACATTCATCCATCAATCCATCATTCATCCATCATTCATCCATCCATCCATCATCCATCCACCCATCATCCATCCATCCATCCATCCATCAATCATCCATCCATCCATCCATCCATCAATCATCCATCCATCCATCATACCTGCTGTTTTTCTGACGATTAATTGCACACGATATGATTATGCCCAACCCTACATTATTGAAGCTATTTAAAAATTTATTTGTCATAATCACTTTATCTTTAAGACTACTGTATAAACAAATATGAATCAGTTCATATGAGCTTCCACTGATCCAAGCTAAGGGTTAAATCTACAAACAAGAATAACAAGAGAAGCTGAAAAACACTAACATGTGTGTTTTCAATAGTTAAATAACATAAAAAACTGCTGAGAATATTTGTGCAGATCACAATCAAGCTGCTGCTCTGCTGGGCAGACAGAGGTGAAGCCAAATCATGCGTTATATTATTGTACTAACTGCTACATCATTTTCACAGGAAAACCCTCAATCAAGCTTTTTTTTAAATATATATAAATCCCTTTTCAGCAGGCATGGTGATGAAAGTCCTGCTTCCAAATAATTGACACTAAAGTAAGAATGTTAAGTAAAAATACAAAATAAAATAAAATTACTAGTCTTTCCAGTGTGGCTCTTTTCTACCCGTCTGCTTCTCTGAGGGTGCAGTTCAAGGTCTGCAAAGGAGCTTATAGAGTAAATGGATCCAGTTCAAATCAAAAAGAGAAAAAAGAACAACTCCTTCTTACCTCAGGCAGAAACAAATTAAGTTATCGATCCAGGGCACCAAACTCACCCTGCCAGCAACAAACCTACCTTCAACAGCAGACGCATTCTCTGGTTCTGATTGGCCGCTGCTCCCAGCAGACCTTCTGTATCCAGGGCGAGCAGGCTGAGAGAGGGATTATAGGCGGCCCACACTCCCACCGTGCAGGAGCTGGGAGACTTGGAGGTATAGAACACACTCTGGCCATCAAACAGGATGTGGTTCAGCGTGTGGGACTTGCCATCTCCGGTGTTGCCAAAGATGGAGAGGACCTTGACCCCTGCAACATCGGCACAGCCAAGTTTGTTCAAAAACTCTTCCTCATCGTGGACCTGCAGAGCAGAGAGTGGATTAAACAGCGTTGTGTGCTGCTGATAATGTGCTTCACAGTGACATTTGTCTCCCCTGTCATTGGATTTGACTCTGTGTGTGCCGGATATGTAGATACAATGAGACACAATAAAATAAATACCTGGTTTGTTAGGGTTTCCCCACTCTTATACTAAACACTACAGTTAAATTCACCAGTAGTGAGACATATTTTGCTAACATATACACACACAAATGAGTGAATAAGATTAAAAAGCCTATCATTATGGCCTGCACTTTGTTCATCTATGACAACAATACAAGGTGGTTCCTCCTGGGTCAGCTGAGAACATGACTCATCGGGGACTTTCCCTGAAGACAAACCAAATAATATTGCCCTGCCTCCTTTAAATGCAGATTGTCAGGTTTCTGAGAAACCTTAGGAGGCACTGAATAGAATAATAACAAAAGGGCCATAAGAAGGTGTATAATGTGATTTTTTTAAAAAGTGACATTTCAAAATAAGACACTAGAAATGCTCTCCTTTGTTATAAATACGGTGTTCTGAAACTTATACTAGGCTCCATTGCTGTTTATTTGTAGCTGTTGTCAGTTTTGTGGCCTTCAGGGGGAGTTTTATCTGCCCCGTTAGCCTTGCAGCTAGCTGTTAGCAGCTCGGCTAACTTTACCTGCAGGTTCTCCTGTTCGTCCACCAGCAGGAAGCTCCGGGTGTTCTCCACGCGCTCCTCCGGCTTCACGGGGCTGACGGTCATACTCTCCATCTCCATCATCAGGATTTCTGACATCGTGCCTTGAGCTTTAACACATATTTGTGACAGCAGGAAGCAAAACGAAAGTTCAACATGACTCCTGTCACAACAACAACGCGCATGCCGCTGGTGCTGCGGGAGGAGCCAAGGAGTACGTACTGCGGTGACGTCAAGGCGTTTTGTTTATGTCGGTGCGCGGTGCATTAGCGCCATCGTGTGGAGAAAACCTAGTATGACAGGTTACTTTTGCCATTCATGAATTTACTTCATTGAAATGAAATTTTATTCAATTTATTTACATTGATTGTGCAAACAATATAATACTGTGCAATTCAATGTGTATATTAAACAATATCTAGACAATAAACCATGTCAAAAATAAATGCTCTTTTATGCACAAAATGCTTTATAATCAGTGAAAAAAAGAATATAATTCAGTAGAACCATAACAACAAAATGCATTACATTGGAGTAAATCAATATGTAAACTGAAAACATAACAAGATCCACATTTTTATACATCTTTTCAAATCTCTTTAGCAAATATTTGAATATTTCTACATTGTTCACTATTTCACAGATTTGGGAACAGTCAAAAGCCACTTTGAACATGCAGATGGTTGATTGACCTCCATTGGTTTTAAAGGTGTGCTGATGTCTCAATTATTTGTGCCTATTTAAAACAAAAGATCTTATCCCTATAAAGAAATAGATGCAAAATCAAAAATTTGCATGTAACTTGAGTGTTTTACTAGAGCAGTAGTGCCATGTTGGAGCTGCTTGCTAATGTTCATTAAATATTTGTTAGCACAGATCTATAAATATCACATGTCACTGAATGGCTTCAGAAAGGCGCCACTGCTGCTAACAAGACATGGAGAAAGAAACTCCAGCTACATTTGAGTCCTGGATGAGCTCTATCTGTCTTTTACTCTTCTATACATCCCTTTTTCTTTCTTTCCTTCACACCTTCCTTCCTGTGCTGCAGCTCCTGCAACAGGCTAGAATACGAGGGGAGGAAACAAAACAGCACCAACACTTGTGGAGAAGGTGCTATTCTTTGTTAGGGTTCAACAATTGGAGACAAATGTCTGAAAGAATCAATTACAGACCCTCTTCTAAACCATTACACCTGATTAATTAATAATTTAGGTTAAAAGTCTGGCTTCATATAACGTACAATAAAGCACAGCTCAGTATTTACACTGTAAAATGTGTTTTTTGTTGTTGTCAAAGTGTGTTTTTTAAGAGTTCGAAACTATTAACTTGTTGAGATAAAATGTAATTAAAAATACCTTAAAGGTGCAGTATGTAACTTTTCTAAAAAT